CAGAAGCCAGCAGAGCAGCAGATGCCAGCAGGGAGAAGCATACAACAACACCCACACACCACCCGATACCAGCAGAGAGCGGCAGCGTGGGGCAGAGAGCAACAGAGAGTAGCAAGGAACAGTTGAGACCAGCAGAGAAGGAGAAAAAGAGGGAGAGAGAGAGAGAGAAACAGAGAGAGAGAGGGAAACATAAAAATAGAGAGAGAGAGAGAGAGCAAGCGAGCAGCAGCAGCAGCGGCATATAACATAATACACCTGCAGACGCCACCATATTCCAGCAGTCAACAGCATATGCCAGCAGAGGCCCGCAACTTTTCAGCACAGACCAGCAGAGACCAGCAGAGAGCGGAGGGCAGCGGAGAACAGCAGACAGCAGCAGAGGCCATCAACACCCAGCAAAGGGCAGCAGAGACCAGTAGAGAACAACAGAGACCAGGAACAGCAGGCAACAGCAGACAACAGCAGAGCCCAGCAGACAACAGCATATACCAGCAGAGAGCAGCAGTCACCAGCAGCGACTAGCAGAGACCAGCAGGGAGTAGAGACCAGCACGGAGTAGTAGGGCTATCAGAGAGCAGCGGAGAGCATTGGACACCACTCGAGAACGGCAGAGAGCAGGAGAGACCAACAGAGACCAGCACTGACCAGCAGAGAGCATCACACCAGCAAGCGCTTGCAGAGACCATCAGAGATCAGTAGACACCAGTAGAGACTAGCACAGAGCAGCAGAGAGCATCGCAGACCAGCAGAGAAGGAAATGGCGACGAGGACACAGCAGACGAACCTCCGCAATGGCAAGGACGACGATGAGGATTCCTTCCAGGTTAGTTTGATTATCGTCTTGAGTAACTCGGAGGCCAGGGGGGTTCGACGGCAGAGTTGTGCCCGCCCAGAGGGTTTCAAACTCTTCTGGCAACCTGCGTCTAACCTGCAGGGTACGGGTTCCTCAGACAGAAGCGGCTGGGTCTACGTCGCGTGCGGCTCATCTGGTTGCGCCGCCAAAACATGTATTTATCGAGCCCGCAAAGGAAGTCACAGGGGGCTCCCAGGGGAAACTCGCTCGCAGATGTCGCAATCAGTGTACTTTTGGGGTATGACTTCTACGAGCGTCGGTGTCACTCCGAGCGTGGGCGCGCTGGTCATATCCCTTATTGGGGACGGTACTCCTGCCTCAGCGCCGACCCCATCCCGAATTGGCCATAGTGCTGCCGCTCGAGCGCCAGCCACACCCCTGACTGGGACTGGTGCTCTCGCCCTAGCGCTGGCCACATCCCTCTCTAAGCGCGCTTGCCGCATCCTTCTTTGGGAACGATACTTCCGTATCAGCGCCGGGCACCTCCTTTATCGGATATGGCGTTGCCGCTCGAGCGCCAGCCACGATCTTGATTGGGAGCGGTACTCTCGCCCGAACGGTGGGCGCGCGCCGGGCGAGTGCCGGCGGGGTGGCGTCAGGTTAATTACCTGGCGTCCGGTTGCGTTCAGAAGCGCCGGGTCCACTGCTGGCGGGACGGCGTCAGGTTAGGGGCCCTGGCGTCAGGTTGGGGGGGGGGGGTGCAGCATGTTTCTCGCAGGGTTATCTCGGCGTCCCTTGGGGCGGTGGTGGTGGTGGTGGTGGTGGGGAAACGGTCTTAGGAACCAGCAGGCGACCTTTGGGGGGCCCATGGGCCACGAGGGGCTTGAGGGGTGTGCCGAAGCGAGGCTCCCTTGGAGCCGTCTGAGGGGTCAGCTGAGGGCTCAGCTGAGGGCCTGCGGGAGTCCATGAAGCGCGCGCTGCATGTGAGTTTTTTTTTGTTCTCTTCCCTTCCAGGGTAATGCTCGTTACCCAGGCCAGCCCCCTCCCCCCCCTCCCTCGAGCAACGCCAACGATCGTATTGGGGGGGGAGCCTGGACCCCCCCCATGCTGTGGTGGACACAGGCGATTGATGCGGCGGTGGCGCAGACGCACCCTGGCGGGTGCGCGCCGCGGCCGCCGTTGCCGTTACCCTCCCGCCCGAACACCCCCCCCCTCCTTAGGGTAACGACCGTTGCCTGGGAAAGAAAAAAAAACGATCACCAGGAGGGGTGGAAGGATAGGATAGTAGGATAGGGTAGGACCGATCGCGAAGCGAAGTAACGACACCTGGCCACACTACGACACGAGCAGCAGCGAAGGCGGCGGGGGGGGGGGCGGCGGTCCTTGACGTCGAGGTGCAAGCGCGCGCGGGCGGAGCGCCGCGCGCCGCTGGCTGCCTTCCCGCCGACCCCCCGTTCTGACCCCCGCCGCAACGACGCCCTCTCGGTCTCGGACAAGGCTACACATCTACTTGTATATATACTTGGGCCATTTGCCCTCATTGACGCGGTTCAAATACGAGGTGCGGGTCGGGGTCAGCTTTTGGGGATCGCAAGCACTAGAGAGAGCCCTCAACTGTTGGCTGCCGAAACACCCGCACCCTTAAAAAAACCAAAGCTTCAACATCTTATGATACAACATCTGATGGGAGGGGTGTGTCCACCCCCCTCCCACATGAAACCTCTGGCCCTTCGGCAATCTTAAAAACTTGGCATCCTGGGGGATTAATTCCACACATGGGCTGCAACGCCAGCTGGCGAGCTCAACCTGTGATGAGCTACCAAAACAGCGCTGGCAACTGTTTCCATTCTGGGACAGGACATGCGACGA